CACATGTGTCTTACTCTCATCTTGTCGGTATTATATACCATTTCGTACACAACAGCAGTTATTGGAAACAGCACACTAAGCCTCTTCCTGGAGAGGAATCTGTGTAGTTTTACCCGCTTGTTTGTGAAACATGGTAATAAAATATTTTCCGTGTTAGTAGTGACTTTGTAGGTAACTGATTCAGAGAACCGACAGGTTGATGAATTAGACACCACATACGACTGCTACGCCTCCTTTGCTGCACTCTTTTCAAGATTGATGGACTGATCACATCATAAGAACATAAGAAAGGAGGAACACTGCAGCAGGCCTGTTGGCCCATACTAGGCAGGTCCTTTACAATTCATCCCACTAACAAAACATTTGCCCAACCCAATTTTCAATGCCACCCAAGAAACAAGCTCCGATGTGCAAGTCCCACTCAAATCCAACCCCTCCCACTCATGTACTTATCCAACCTAAATTTGAAACTACCCAAAGTCCTAGCCTCAATAACCCAACTAGGTAGACTGTTCCACTCATCAACTACCCTATTTCCAAACCAATACTTTCCTATATCTTTTCTAAATCTAAACTTATCTAATTTAAATCCATTACTGCGGGTTCTCTCTTGGAGAGATATCCTCAAGACCTTGTTCATATCCCCTTTATTAATACCTATCTTCCACTTATACACTTCGATCAGGTCTCCCCTCATTCTTCGTCTAACAAGTGAATGTAACTTAAGAGTCTTCAATCTTTCTTCATAAGGAAGATTTCTAATGCTATGTATTAATTTAGTCATCCTACGCTGAATGTTTTCTAACGAATTTATGTCCATTCTGTAATATGGAGACCAGAATTGAGCTGCATAATCTAGGTGAGGCCTTACTAATGATGTATAAAGCTGCAGTATGACCTCTGGACTTCTGTTGCTTACACTTCTTGATATAAATCCCAGTAATCTATTTGCCTTATTACGTACGCTTAGGCATTGCTGTCTTGGTTTAAGGTTGCTGCTTACCATAACCCCAAGTCCTTTTCGCAATCTGTATGGCTAAGTTCTACATTATTTAACTTATAAGTGCTAGGGTTATGGACACTCCCGAGCTTCAGAACCTTGCATTTATCTACATTGAACTGCATCTGCCACTTTTCTGACCAAGAGTAGAGTTTGTCTAAATCCTCCTGAAGTTCCCTAACATCTACGTTTGAATCAATTATCCTACCTATCTTCGTGTCATCGGCGAATTTGCTCATATCACTAGTAATTCCTTCATCAAGATCATTGATATATATTATAAACAACAACGGACCCAAGACTGATCCCTGTGGAACGCCACTTGTTACTGATCCCCACTCGGATTTAACCCCATTTATAGACACTCTCTGCTTCCTGTCTGTGAGCCATGATTCGATCCACGAGAGCACTCTTCCCCCAATGCCATGAGCTGCTACTTTCTTCAACAGTCTTTGGTGCGGAACTCTATCAAATGCCTTACTAAAATCTAAGTAAATAATATCAAATTCTTTATCGTGGTCAACAGCCTCAAAAGCTTTACTGAAAAAAGTTAATAAATTAGTCAGACAAGACCGGCCTCTTATGAATCCATGCTGAGTATCATTAATCAAGCTATGCTTATCGAGATGGCTTCTTATAATTTGAGCTATAATTGACTCTAGTAATTTGCCTACAATTGAGGTCAGGCTTATTGGGCGGTAATTTGACGGTAACGACTTGTCCCCTGTTTTAAAAATAGGAATTACATTAGCCATCTTCCACATATCAGACACTACACCTGTTTGAAGAGATAAATTAAAAATATTAGTTAATGGTTCACAGACTTCCATTTTGCATTCCTTTAGAACCCTTGAAAAAACCTCATCAGGACCCGGTGACTTATTTTGCTTCAGTCGGTCTATCTGCTTCACAACCATTTCACTAGTGACTATGATGTTACATAATTTATCTTCTTCTGGCCCACTATAAAAATTAATTACCGGAATATTATTAGTGTCTTCCTGTGTAAAAACCGAGAGAAAATAATTATTTAAAATCGAGCACATTTCATTCTCTTTGTCAGTAAGATGCCCATAGTTATTTTTAAGGGGACCTATCTTATCTCTGACTTTTGTTCTATATACCTGGAAAAAACTTTTTGGGTTAGTTTTAGAATCCCTAGCAACTTTAATTTCATAGTCCCTTTTAGCTTTTCTTATCCCCTTTTTAATGTCCCTCTTAGTGTCAATATACTGATTCATAAGATGACCCTCGCCTCTTTTGATACGCCTATAAATTAATTTCTTATGCCCTAGTAGATATTTCAGCCTATTGTTCATCCATTTTGGGTCATTTCTATTTGATCTAATTTCTTTATAAGGGATAAATGTTCTTTGAGCAGCATGTATTGTGTTCAGAAAACTGTCATATTGATAGCTCTCTTCGTTACCCCAGTCAACAGATGATAAGTGTTCTCTAAGCCCATCGTAATCTGCTAAGCGAAAATCTGGGACTGTTACTGAGTTATCCCTACTATCATACTTCCATTCAATTCTAAATGTAATTGATTTGTGGTCGCTAGCACCCAGTTCTTCTGAAACTTCTAAATTATTAACAAGGGATTCATTGTTTGCCAGAACTAAGTCAAGCAGGTTATTACCCTTGTAGGTTCTGTCACAAACTGCTTAAGAAAACAATCCTGAACTACTTCTAAGAAGTCGTATGATTCTAAATTCCCAGTCAAGAAATTCCAATCAATATGACTAAAGTTAAAGTCTCCTAGAATTACTACATTATCGTGCCTTGTGGCCCTAACAATTTCCTCCCATAGTAGTCTTCCTGGTCCCTATCTAAATTTGGGGGACGGTTATATCACACCTAAAGTTAATTTTTCATGCCCCTCTGAAAATTCTATCCAAACAGACTCTGTATGTGTTACTTCAGACTTAATACCCGTTTTAATGCAACAGTTCAAGCGATCTCGGACATACAGTGCCACCCCACCCCCCTTCCCGATACTTCTATCTACTTGGAACAATTTGAAACCCTGAATGTGACATTCTGCAGGCATATGTCCCGACTTTTTGAATTAAACCACGTCTCAGTAATAGCAAATACATCTATGTTACCTGCACTAGCAACTAGTCTCAACTCGTCCATCTTATTCCTAGCACTGCGACTATTTGTGTAATATATACTTAAGGACCCTCCTTTCTCTTTATCATTCCTGCTCCTTTCTGTTATTCCACTAAACCTATTACTGTCCTTGTCAATTAGTGCCACTGGCTTTCCGATATCCACCTCATTTTGCCTATTACTAGTTCTCCTAGTACTCATATTACTACCCTGAGACTTCACAGTTTTCCCGCAGAAACCCATACCACTAACTATTCCTAGTTTAAAGACCTAACAGCTCCCTCCACTGCGAATCCAGACTGAGAGACTGATTACCTCAAACGCCTGATCTTCAACTACTTTTCTCTGTATTGGGCTGAGGAAGCCACTGGATGGTGAAACGTTTCCACAATAAAGAAACCCAAGTGTTACACAGGTATCTTAACTCATCAACTAGCGACTTTTATTTCTAACAACATTGTCTGCTTGCAGATGTTATTAATAAATCTTTCCCCGGTAAAGAAACAAAACGTTATCAGTTTTTTCATTATCACTTTACTAAAACCTCAAAAAATCGAGTGTAAATGTTGACATACATTATTAAGAAGTCTGTTGCTGTTGTTGTGCCTCACACTGATGTTGCGTTTCATGCTAGTGTTGTGATTCGTGCCGGTGTTGCGTTCCATGCTGGTACCGTGTACTCCATGCTAGTGTTGCACTCCATACCGGTGTTGTGTTCCATGCTGGTGCTATGTTCTCTATGCTGGTGCGGTATGTTCCAATCTGTACGTGACGTACATAGTCCTAAATTTTTTGTTGTTGTGCTGTGCTCTATTTTGTGTTGAGGAGGGGAGGAAGTGTGTGTACTCACCATGTGTTTGCGGTGGAGTCGAGATTTAGCTCCTGGTTCGCGTCTTCAAGACTTTTCTATGGGAATAATTAAACTAGGATACTGTTAAGTAGCTAAACAAAATGTATGAAGATATTCTTATTTGAGAGAAGATACGAGCCCAAAGGGCATCACTGATTTCTGGCCTCTTGGGCCTTATCATATCTATACTCTTGAAGGTATGTACTAAGTTTGCCTTCACCGCTGTCTCATCCACATTCCACTTTTCGACTACTAAGACTCGGTACAAACTTTCATCTCTATTGTCCATCTGCTGGTGTTGTGGTCCACCTTTGTTCCATCTGTGTTCCACCTGTTTCACTTGTGTTCTCTTGCTCTTGGTCCGTCTCTTTCTGCCTTATCACTTACTCTTATTATTTTTGTATGTCATAATCTTATCTTCCCTCGTTCCCTCGTCCTCCCCTCTCTGCTAAGGTCGTCAGGGTCAATTCTTTCAACCTCTACTCAGGGTATTTCTTTCAACCTCTACTCAGGGTATTTCTTTCAATCTCTACTCAGGGTATTTCTTTCAACCTCTACTCAGGGTATTTCTCACAGTAATGGTACAAGTCTGGTTGCAAACTTACTGACCATGAGCTTTGCGTAGGTTTGACTAGGTGTAGGAACCGTGTGCTCATTAATTGACCTAATATATGTCCTACATAAAGTTCCGAATGATTCTTTAAGGTTTCTGAATGTTGTAGCAATGCTTACTAATTATGTATATGCTACCGATGTTTTATTGTTTATGTGTAATTCTGCCGATATTCTTGTCTTATATTTACCACAAGTCCTCTCCGCTCTCATATTTGCAGCTTCTCTCCCAAGGTGAAGTTAACTCACCTATTTGTGCTTGCAGAGATTGAGTCGCAGCTCATGTCCCCGCTTCTTCGCAGGTCGTATGTGTGCGTGTATGTATAAGAAAGCAAGTAAGCAAGCAAGAAAATAATTAAGTGGGTGCTGAGGAAGGCGTTAAATGCTTGGAAGAAAAGTGGCCAGCATCAAGGCCACTCAGGGCCTCTCTGAGTGACCTTCACGCAGGCTTCCCTGCCAGCAGTAACTGAAGTGTTAAGTGGACTCAGTGGCGGGTGAGGCAGTCGTCACCAGCTGGCGTGGGGTGTGGAAGCGTGGTTCCCGCACAGTAATATACTTCCATCACTATTCTAAAAGGTATTTATTTATCATTATTAGATTGATATTTAACACTGAGGCTTAACTAATAGGCATGCTCTTATGTTTCGTGTCATTCTGAAACTTTAATCTCTGTGAATTATTGGTTTTGTTGTACATATTTTTGTGTGGCTATGAATGTTGAGTGACCAACTTTTTAAGATTTTGCCACCGAAGTGCCTTGTTTATTGTGCACCCCATATCCATCCTGTGGACGGTAGCGCAAGAGCATATGGATACACAAAATACCTAGGAACTAGGCCCCAAAAGGGTTAACAGGTGTACATATTTTTTTTTATATCTACATATCTACAGTTCACTGATCTGTTACAAGTAAATTTAGGAAATTTGCTTAGTATATCTAGTATCTTATTTTCATTAATAAGATATCTTGACATGTCACATAGGTTATTATACTATCTCTGTATTCCTCGATAAGTGGACAGTTAAGCACATTATGCAGCTCAATTCTGGTCTCCATATTACAGAATGGACATAAATTTGTTAGAAAACATTCAGCGTAGGATGACTAAATTAATACATAGCATTAGAAATCTTCCTTATGAAGAAAGATTGAAGACTCTTAAGTTACATTCACTTGTTAGACGAAGAATGAGGGGAGACCTGATCGAAGTGTATAAGTGGAAGATATTTATTAATAAAGGGGATATTAACAAGGTCTTGAGGATATCTCTCCAAGAGAGAACCCGCAGTAATGGATTTAAATTAGATAAGTTTAGATTTAGAAAGGACATAGGAAAGTATTGGTTTGGAAATAGGGTAGTAGATGAGTGGAACAGTCTACCTAGTTGGGTTATTGAGGCTAGGACTTTGGGTAGTTTCAAATTTAGGTTGGATAAATACATGAGTGGGATGGGTTGGATTTGAGTGGGACTTGCACATAAGAGCTTATTTCTTGGGTAGCATTGAAAATTGGGTAGGTCAAATGTTTGTTAGTGGGATGAATTGTAAAGGACCTGCCTAGTATGGGCCAACAGGCCTGCTGCAGTGTTCCTCATTTCTTATGTTCTTATGTTCTTATGTTCAAGACAGTGACCATATGCCTGATCATATAATTTTCTTTTAGTTTCATCATCATCTGTGTGTCTCCCAAACTGCCAGAAGTACTTGTAACCAAGCCTAAGCCTGGCCACTACAACATCAGTCTTAACATTGCAAGTTGCTCCATAAACACACTTATCTACGCTCATGTTATCATAGTGGGTTATAGATCTACTCAGGCTATTAACTGCATTCCTATAACAATCATTTTCATCATTTACTTCTCTCCTAATATTATTCCTAATGCTAGACAAAGATATACCAAAGTTATATTCAACATTCTCCTAGGTACTCTTCTTGGCTAACATATCAACTTTATCAAGGAGTAATCCAATGTGTGATGGGATCCATGGCAATTATACATTAATTCTTTTGTCCCTGATTTTTTAGTATGTATACCTCGCTTCTCCAATGAGCATGTTGTTGGAGTCATTATATGAGTCAAGAACCTTCAGTGATGACATAGAATCAGTAATGATGATAGAGTCAAGCTCAGTGTCATAGGTTAACTTTAGCGCCATTAGGATTGCAAACAATTCAGTTTGCAGTGAAGACGCCCAGTTGTTAATTCTTATGCCTAACTCAACAAATTTATTATCGTTCTTAACTATTGAGGTGGCAACAAGAGCAGATGCAGTTCTGCCAGAAGACTCCTGTTTAGGTCCATCAGTGTATTTAACTTGTGATAACGTGGTCGAAGTGCTTAGTGAATGTGTCTACTAATACTTGATGTGACATGTATGTTGAAAAGGGTATAATACCGACAAGTCGGCATTTTATACCATTTTCAACAAGACTAGTACTTCTCTGTGAATGTTTCTTGATTCGTATTGAATGGTGACCTGTGAACCGAGCAGTGCTCTTTGTGTCTTGTCATCGTATTTTTTTTTTTTTTTGCTTTTATACCGCGAAATATCCTCATCATAGCATTTAACACTGAAGATCATTGACTAATAAATTCTCGTGTGTTTTGTCTTTCTAATATTTTTTTTATTCTTCGTGAATACTTCTTGTTTTGTAGTGAACTGTGTGTAACTAGTTGCATGAGAACACTAGAGAACTTGGAAGATAAGACTGCTTATCAGATGACTCTTTATACATGAGACATGTGTTTGACCTTGAGCTCCTGACAGCAGGCTGTGTGAGAATACTTTTTCTTAGAATTATTTTTACTGTATTCGAAAACAAGCGTCAAATGAGTACAGTTCGTACACATTTACTTATAGATAGAGGAGCTGAACAATGTTGTTTGTGGATAAATGGCTCAGAGAACCGACAAGTTGATAAACTGGACACATGTGCAACACTTGGGTATCTTAAGTGTGAAAAGGTTTCGCTTCGCTGTGGCTTCATCAGTCTAATACAAAGAAGAAATGAAGCTCAGAAGGAGACTCAGGTAATCAGTCCCTCAGCCTGAGGGATTCATTTCAAACTCTTCCTGTTTATGACAGATTAAAATGCGAAAATCTCATCCACCTTCTCAGAGCTGGGGCCCGTGCCCAAGATACAGCAAGCATTAATTCTCTGAACCGCAGCGCTGAGTCGCTGGAACAGAAAATTAGCCGCTCTGGAATCCCCAGTTACGCTGAAGGAACTTAGATGCACTGAAGTTAACCTTAGATGTACTTAAGTTACCCTTAAGGAATTTAGATGAGCTTTTCCCATGTGCCAAGGGTCTCTGAGCCTATACTTGGAGAGGGTTTCGTGGATCAACGCCCCCTCGGTCCGCTCTGTGATCAGGCCTCGCGGTGGGTCAGGGTCTGATCAACCAGGCTGTTATTGCTGGCCGCATGCAAATTGACGTACGAACCACAGTCAGGCTGGTCAGGTACTGACTTTAGGTGCCTGTCCAGTGCCTTCTTGAAGACAGCCAGGGGTCTATTGGCAATCCCCCTTATGAACGCTGGGAGGCAGTTGAGCAGTCTTGCGCCCCTGACGCCTATTGTGTTGTCTCTTAACATACTCGTGGTGCCCCTGCTTTTCATTGGGGGAATGTTGCATCTCCTGCCGAGTTTTTTTTGCTTTCATAGGGAGTGATTTTGGTGTGTAAATTTGGTACTCGTCCCTCTAGGATTTTCCAAGTGTATATGTTATCATGTATCTTCTTCCAGGAAACACTAGTCAAGGGACTTCAACTGTTCCCAGTAATTTAGGTGCTTTATCATACTTACGTGTGCCGTGAAGGCTCTCTGTTCACTCTACATGTCAGCAATATTGCATGCCTTGAAAAGGCTATTAGTATATAGCAGTATTTCGGCCTAGAGAAAACGAACAATTTGAAAAGAATCATCATGGGCTTGGCGTCCCTAGTTTTGAAGGTTCTCATTATCCATCCTATCATTTTTCTATTAGATGTGGCAGATACATTGTTGTGATCTTTGAAAGCGAGATCCTGTGACATTATCACTCCCAGGTCATTCACAATAGTTTTGCGCTCTATTATGTGGTTGGAATTTGTTTTATACTCTGGTATAGTTTTAATTTCCTCAAGTTTTCCATATCGGAATAATTGAAATTTCTCTACATTGAACTTCATATTGTTTCCCACGGCCAATTTAAAGATTTGGTTGATGTCCGCTTGGAGTCTTGCAGTGTCTTAAATGGAGGACACTGATGCAAATTCGGGTGTCATCTGCAAAGGAGGACATGGTGCTGTGTCTTACATCTCTGTCTATGTCGGATATGAGGATGAGGAACAGGATGGGGGCGAGTACTGTGACTTGTGGAACAGAGTTTTTCACTATAACCACCTCAGACTTTACTATGTTTACTACTACTCTTTGTGTTCTATGTGTTAGGAAGTTATAGACCCATCTACCAACTTTTCCTGTTATTCCTTTATCATGCATTTTGTGTGCTATTGCACTGTGGCCGCACTTGTGGAAGGCTTTCGCAAAGTCTGTGTGTACTACATCCGCATTTTGTTTGTCCTTCAGATCATCAAAGACCTTGTCATAGTGGTCCAGTAGCTAACACAAGCAGGTACGGCCTGCTCTAAACCCGTGTGTGCCCTTGGTTGTGTAACTGATGGGTGGCGATCTAGCTTCTTAGAACCCTTTCAAAGATTTTTATGATATGGGACAACATTCCAACCAATAATCTACCCCCACACAATCTTCTTACACGATTCCCCTCACGGGCACTCGCTCATACCTATACCATTCCCCTCACATCCACCATTCTCTCAAAGCCACTTATCCCCTTTGACCTCAACTACACACCTTACCTGACCTTTCACCCTAACATTCCATCCACATACACTTAGTTACTCACCACACTCACTACTGTATAGAATAGTGTCTGTGGCTTATGACTTATTAGGGTAGTGATCCTTGTCACCTCATTTGTGGAATTCAGCCCAGAAACCTGCCATCTCATTTTTTTTACCTGAATTCTTTTCTTCTACAAAGGGAGTTGTGTTAAGACGGTTGCTACTGTTGAGCTTTGGTGGAGATAGAACCACAGCGTGTGCCAGCGTGTCAGCGTGCCTCGTTGTGCTCCCGGTTTTCTCATGTTTTCACGGTCGCTCTTACGTGCTAGAACTTTAATTTGTGTCATCAATCCTATACGATACATCCCTCTAGCGCCTGGAACCAATCTTGGGCGGAAAACATTATATACTGAGTCAAAAAAGGAGAATTAGTGTGCACTGCGTAGCAGAGTTTACTGCCAGAGGGGAATCATAGGCCTATGTCCCGTGTGGAAAAAAATAATAATAATTGAACTTTTCATGTCAGAGGAAAGAAAGTCTCCCTGATATCATAGTGTATAGTGTATACTACAGTGGCTCCCTAGTATATTGATGATAAAGGCTAAAGTGTCATTTGAAAACAGGTGAATTTGTAAATGAAGGGATAAGCCTATAGAGGAAGGTGCCAGAAGTCGCCAGAAACTTACCACAGGTCAGCTGTTTTTAATAATCTTCCTGGCCTGCTAGT